CCCCCCCCCCCCCCCCCCCCCCCTGCAGCAGCAGAGTTTGGATGTGGGAGGGAGCAGGGGGTTTGGGCACAGGACAGGGTGAGGCGGGCTCTGGGCGGCGCTTACCTGGGGGGCTCCCCAGAAGCATCGACACCGCCCTCGCTCAGGTGCTAGGTGGAGGCGTGGCCACCTCCGCCTGGAAGCACCATCCCCGCAGCTCCCATTGGCCACGGTTCCCGGCCAATGGAAGCTGTGAAGCCAGCACTCTGGGCGGAGGCAGCGTGCAGAGCTGCCTGGCTATGCCTCTGCCTAGCAGCTGAGCGAGGGGGTGTCACCACTTCTGGGGAGCCCCCCAGTTAAGCACCGCCCAAAGCCCGCCTCACCCCGTCCTGTGCCCCAACCCTCTGCCCCCTGCCCACACCCAAACTCTGCTGCTGCTGGCGGGGGTGGGGGTGGCCCGAGACTGCCCCAGCAGTGGCCGGTGTATCTGGCGCAGGGACTGCCTGAGCTGCTCCTGAGCCAGAAGCACCGGCCGCTGCAGAAGTCACAGAAAGTAACGGAATCTGACTTCCATGACAAGCCCACAGCCTTAACCATGATGTATTGGGCACTGCATGATATTGCAAAATTCTGCCCTGTACTTTGCCCCTACACCACTCCGTTTTCCCATAGGTTTTCAATAGGTTCATTGTTACCAATCTTAGATAAGAGACATTTTAATAATTTCCTCATAGGTCTATATAGAAGCTTCAATAATTTGTGTTAGTAGTCTGTACTACTCTTGGTTTTGTTTTTTTTAAATAGTTCCTTTTCTATTGCAATTTTTTCATAGATTCAAACAAATGTAATTCATACTCACTCAGTGTGGCACTTTATCCCTCTCTAGTGGCTGGAAAGCAGAAGTCAGAGTCTGTTCAGGCTTTGACCCAGTACAACTTGGCCTTTAGGTCATGTAGTAGAAGCTCTGGGTTTTAGATATCGAGGTCTCAGGTTCAAATCCCACTGTCTGACTCAGCCAGCTGCGTTGTGTTATACAGAAATAAACCATAGTTTGTTTGTGACAGTGCTTCAGTATTGGTATTCTAGAATGTTTTTCCAAAAGTATACTTGTAGGCAGCTGGAAGATGTTTTGTCACAAAGCCAAATGTGGGATGTCATAGTATCTTCACAGAGATCTAGTAGAACTTGGAGATTTGTTTTAGAATCAAAGACTTATAAGAAGAGCCTTTTTATTGTGGTGGTGGTGGTCGGGGTGTCGCTCCCTTAGATTCTCAAGAGTTCTTCATTCAAACTTGACAGTACTGAGGAAAACCAGTGTTCCAGCAGGAAAGAAAGGAACAAAACAGAAAATATCAGCTACAATCAGTGATGGCTTGTTCTTGAAATAAGTAGTGAGGTGGAAGATACCAGAAATCCTCCTTTCCTGTCCCCACTCTAGCTTCCTACCCTCCCCATGCAAGTTGGCCAGACGTCAATGTGAAAAAACTAGGACATGCTACAGCATATGACCTGGATGATTTTGGAGAAAAGGTAGGGAAGTGCCCAGTGAAGTGGGTAGAAAAGTGGCCTCTCATTGCTCTCACCAACTTCCATCTTACAGAATGAAAAACTGAAATCCTTTATAATAAAAGATTGTGTAACAGAGAAAAATATTTCTTCCTTTAAGACCTTGTATAGATTACAACTTACTTCAGTATACTTTACGTCACTCAGGGATGTGAATGATCCACACCCCTGAGCGACATAAGTTTTATACCGACCAAAGAGCTGGTATAGACAGCGCTATGTCAGCGGGAGAGCTTCCCCTGCCGACATAGTTACTTTTTCTCATGGGGGGGGGAGGAGTAATTAAGCCAATGGGAGAGCTCTCTCCCATCAGTTTACAGCGTCTCCACTACAAATGCTACAGTAGCGCAGCTCCAACAGTGCAGCTGCGCCAGTGTAAATGCTGTAGTGTACATGTAGCCTAAGACTTCACTATGTTATACCAGTCCTAGCCTCTTCGCCCTCCAGTCTAGCTCTTATCCTTCTGTCTCCACAGCCAGTATCTATAAATAAATAAAACACACACATACACACAAACTCTCATGTCAAACTACTCCAGAATAACGTCCCCACCTTTCTGCTAACATCCCCAACCAGGATCAGGAACACTTCCTGTCCATCCTTTAGCTCAATCTTTACACTTCCTAACAACCTCTGTGCACCTAAGAGTCATCCTCCCTCTCATTTGAGGATACTCTCCCCAGATTTAGAAACCCCCTCCTTCCTCCATCAGACCCAGGAAAACACTTCCTAAGACCACTAAATTTCCTCCCCACTCTTCCTTACCACCCCCACAGTGTTCCCCAGCTCAACCTCCCACCCTTTCCTGCCTCAGTGTCTTCCTTCCCCCCCATTGTTGCTTGGCCTGAAGGAGGAAGACCAGAGGCTGCAGAGAGCCCCATATCCCACCGCTGTCTGAATTAATCCCATAGAGGCCTATATTATTGCTCATTCTGCCACCTGAAAACCATAGTTAGGACACTTTGTAGCAGGTTTTACGGCAATCTGTAATATGCACCCATATTATAGCTACTAGTGTTTTATCATTTGGACACTATTAGTGGAGGTTAGCTCCACCAGCTTCTGATAATCAGCCACACGTGACTAACATTATTCATATTTCATCTGATAACCTTTGAATTTTACTTTGACACCTCAATATGAAGCTTTCAGATAACACAGAGATTGGACTAATCTCAATCAGATAGACCAGGGATTCTCAAACCTTTCCACAGCATGGATCACACCATGGTAGATAATGGACACCTGCGCAGCCATTCACAATCCCATAAAGTGTCATGAAGTTTGCTCTGTAGAAATCTTGAAGATCAGAAACTGAAAACCTTAAAAGCTGAAATCTTGTCTGCTCATGTTAAAAATTCCATGGTACTTTTCACTTGTCCACGTGTTTTTGTCCAAAATCTTCCCTCCATTATTCTGCCATGTGTTTTGTACTGCTGCCAACTCAAGAGTTGGCTGCACTTTGATGTACGTGTTCTTTTGTATTTCGAGATGAAGGGTGCAACAGAAATCTGTGTGTGTGTTCCAAAATAACTTTTATGGATAACTGTCACCCTGATTAGGAAACAATAGAGGATTAAAATTCACAACAATAAAAATTGAAGAGAACAGGGAATTTCTTGTTACTTGACACTGGTGACATGGGTAGGTTGAATTGATTTAAATCACCAAATGGAGAGCCTCAATTTAAATCATTGATCTTAATAACTTTTCCATTTGTACTTCATTTGTTTTCTAAAAAAGGTGCATGCTTATTAGTTGATATAACCATTAAAACATGTAGATTTACAACTAAATAGCGCCTTTACAGTAGATTTGGTACATCTTTTAGCTACCAAGGAGAGTACACTATAACTATATTCATTTATTTAAGCAATTATGTAGCTTAATATTTTCAGATTCTTATTTATTGTACATTGTTAGTATGTTAGAAATAGATGAATAAAATTCTTATTTACTAGACAATTCAACTGTAGTCATTGAATTAAACAGATTATTTCATGTCAGCCTGGGAAAAATTTCACTTATGCCTACATTGAAAGTGACTTGAGCTTAAGTTTCTGTTCGCCTAAGTCTCTTGAAAATGAGACAACAGCCTCCTAAGTTACTTAGGCTGTTTTTCACACTGTTAAAACTAGTAGATCTCATCCTTTCCCTCCTTGTTTTTTTCATTGACTTGAAGAGAAGGACAAGTTTTCCCTCTTTTTTAACTCCCAGTCCATTTTGCAGCTTTAAATTAATTAGCCCAAATAAAGAAAATATTTGTTGCCTGCTGAAGATGATACTGCAGTGAAAAGCTGGTTTAGTACTTCACCAAACTCTGATTCCAGATGCTTAAAGTAGTGACTCCCAGCAGTTCAGTGGTGTGACTATCTATAAATCATCATCAACAAACATGTACTGTATGAATGGTTCACCTCTGTCTTTGACATTTATTTTGTTTGGCATAATTGATGGGTGATTATGAGATACCTATGTCATGTCAGCAGTATCTTCTTGAGTGATTATGCATCTACCTTGGTATTTTGAGTTGAGAATATTGTAGAGCAAACTAAATGTAGTAAGTGCTTCAGCCAACAGCTTCTTTACTGCCTGCAACTTAACTTTGTTGTTGGGTATTTCTTTCTTCAATGTCTCTTGAAGTGCTTTCCAAATTCCAACAGCAGCAGTTTGTCCAAGGCTACGGAAATAGGTTTCAGTGTATTCAGCTTTCAGAGTAGCAGCCGTGTTAGTCTGTATCTGCAAAAAGAACAGGAGTACTCGTGGCACCTTAGAGACTAACAAATTTATTAGAGCATAAGCTTTCATGGACTACAGCCCACTTCTTCGGATGCATATCAGCATATCTTGTATTCAGCATATCTTCTACATTTCTCTTTAGTCCAATTTCAACTATGTTGGCTGTGATAATTCCATCTATTTTGTCATGATTTTTCTTCACAAATTGTCATCAGAAAAGGCCAGATCTTAATAAATAGTTCAAAACAGACAACCACTAAATTTCATTGTATGTATTGGCGAAGAATTAGCTTGGATCCTCGTGCTCTTTTCAGTAAACCTGAAGCAAAGGGGTTGTTATGGAACTGTTTTGCAATTTCAGCATTTTCCTTTATTCCTGGAATTGTATTTAAGTATTTGGCTAAAAGATGCATCATATAAGCACTGTGACCATGTGTTATAAGTTTCGGGTTCTCTTCATTATCTTCTTCTAGATTTCTTCTCATCTGTGCTACATTTGCAGCATTGTTACAAAGCTATGCACTTGACACTTGAAGTTTTGTTCACAGTTTGTTATAACTTTTACTGCTCCTACTTTTAAGTATTCTAATGTATGGGCATTTCCTGATATAGCAGTTGTTTCTGTAAGATAGATAAATGCCATCATCTGTTGTCACACAAGCACATATTCCTAGACAATTGTATATGTTGCTTCACCCGTCTAGACTCATACTAACGAATTTCCTGTCAATGTGTTTTACACATTGTTCAATTTCCTTCTCAGACACTGCATCCAGCAATGTTTGATCCAGTAGGTGAAATATAGCCTCCTCATAATGGTTGAACCATGTCAATGAAATGTTTGTTCTGAACAAGATGAAAAGGAGAACTTGTTGCAGAAATGAACCAAGAAATCTTTTCATCTATGGAGTCTTGCTGGAATTTGTTGGTCCTGGTTATGAACTCATCCATGGTTTTACTGGATGACGAAGTTGTGATTTGTTTTGGATTTTTTTGTACAAGTAATTTACTGGTTGTCGTATGTTTTTAGTTAAAGCACTGCTGGTGGTAACAGCAGATGAATCTGAAGTTATAGACCATACAAATGATGAATCTTTATAACCCCTTATTTCTGATATGTACCGTGAAACAAAATGATAAAAAGTCACTCATTGAGTGCTATTCAGTGCACTGCTTTAAAACAAATAGATTGTAAATGGAAGATTACTTACAGCAGCTGTGTGTTCCACTGTTTAAAATTATATAATTTATTCTCAGCCTAGTTATGTAGGGATAATAATTAATAAATCATAAGGATTATCTAAATCTATTAAACCCTTATCTCTAGCAACCTACCAAACAGCTGGGGGGAAGAAAAATTTTAAATGTTAAAATTGATATGTGCCTAATTAAACTTTACTTTTAAAAAATAGGAACATATTGAGCAATAAAAAGTAATTTCAGAAGTCCAGCAGTAACAGTAAAAATGTAATAAATAGTCCCACAAACTAACATACCAAATATATTTTGAACATAAACATTTTGAAATTCGTAAGTAATCTGCCCAAAACACAAATTTATGACAATCTAAGATATAATTTACTAGCATAGTAAAACATGGTAGGTAGACCATAAGAATGGTGCAAAAATAAGTTTACTAACCAGCTGACCCAGATGGTTGATACATGTCCATATCATCTTCAAAGTCATTGTTTTCTGAGAAGTATTTTTCATAATGTTTCATTCTGACAACCAGGCCTTTCACCTCTTTGTTGCACTGTTTACATTTGACATATTTGTTTTTTCCCAGAGGTACAGGAATTTCTTCAAAAATATTCCAAAATAGGGTCTCTTTTTTTCTTTTTTTTTTATGATGTGCAGCCATGGAAGTTTTTTCTCCAGTTCCCAGGTCTTGAAATCAACAGTAGAGGCTGCAACCTGAAGAATGTTGTTCTTTCTTCTCAGTGTTGTCGCTTTGACAACAGAGTTGCTTCTTTCTGGTTGCAAACTCTGCGCCTCTGCCCTTAGAGGATCAAGCCCTTAATACAGTAGATGGCCTATTGTGCCATAATTTACAAAGCTTGACTTCAAAAGTCAGATGTTCCCCCCCCCCCCAATTCTTTTTTTATATAGAAAAGCAGCCTTTGACTCAAAGTTTTTTGATAGAGGCTTATGGATTCAGCATATTTATTTTTCTTATTTAAATGTTTTAAGATGATATAATAAGTTTAGGTCTTAAGATATCTTGTATTAAATTCATATCTCATTGTAAACAATATTTTTAAAAAAAATATAATTTAAATTAAAATCAGTCCAATTTAAATAAAAATCGGAATTTTTTTATTTTAAAAAAACCTCAATTTTTATCCACCCTGCTTGTGGTTTATGAAGAAGAACCTACTGAAGTCTCCTTTGAGCAGAAATTTGGCCTTGACATACATTTGTAAGGTGGGGTATGTGAGAAATAGTGATTAAGTTCTGAGGAGACAAGGAAAGCTCCTGGGGGAAGGCAGAATGAATAAATGTATAGGTAAATATTGCAGTCCTTGTGATTAAATCTATTGTTTCATAGGATATCAGCTTTAGCGAGGACAAACTTGTGAGAGCCTCTTTGACCTGCTTGCTTTTGTGAAGGTGAATATTTCTGGAGAAACTTAAATGCCAGATATGCAGTGATTTAAGATCTAACTTATTCCCATATATTGATCTAGAGTTTCTGTATACTAAGTGGTATTCTATACACTTTGAGTTTATTTTGAATGTGTTCTCACTTTCATTTTAAACCATTTTGTCCAAGTGGTTTTGGGTGTTTGTGTTTCAAGCAGCCTATTGTCAAAAGCAGAGAGAACACAAAATATCCAGGGTCTATTTGTCCTATCAGCATACTGAATCAGTCTTTAAGCTAACTAAGTTAATGGTGGTGATACAGATTTCTGATTTTTTTCTTTGGCAGGGTTGTCTGTTAAGGGACAAATTAAAGACCATTGTCTCTGTGACGGGATCTCCCCAGGGTGCAGCCTGGGAGTGTGGGACCGCTATGCCCCCTTAACTCTCTCCAGCCTGGACTGTCTTTCACAATGCCTTGCTAGTGACCAGCAGCAAACCCCTCCAGGTGCTGTTATCACTCAGCACAACTGCATGTGGCACCCCAGACCCAGCTAGATTGCATGAATACTCCCAGAGCCACTCATGAATCACACAGAGAAAGGCACCAGAACCAAATCCCCCCAGCTCCCAGCACTGTACCTCAGGAACATATAGTCATGCACTACTCAAGATGGGCAGTGCAGATTTATTAATTTATTAATTCAGCAATGGAAAGTGGTTATACACCAGCCTGAGATTTGCCACACACTTCATACAAACTCACTGGTAAAGACAAACAGTTAAATGAATTTATTGACTATAAAAAAGATAGATTTTAAGTGATATTAAGTGATAGGCAAAAAGTCAGAGTTAGTTACCAAAATAAAATAAAATATAAGCACGAGTCTAAACTCTCAACCCTATTAGACTGGGCAACATCTAGATTAAGCAGTTTCTCACCCCACTGGATATTGCAGTCCTTAATATACAGGTTTGTTCCTTAAATCTGGGAACTCCTCTGTTGGAGTCTTGTATTCTTCTCAGTGTTTTAGAGTATGTCTTCACTACCAATGTTAAAGCACTGCTGCGGAGTTGCGCTGGGAGAAAAAAAAAAAATTTACCCCCCAAAGGGGGGAGTAGCTACCAGCACTGGTGCACTCTCTACACTGCCGCTTTACAGCGCTGAAACTTGCATCACTCAGAGGGTTTTTTTTCACAGCCCTGAGCGAGGAAGTTTCAGCGCAGAAAAGGCCTTAGGGCATGTCTACACTTGCCATTTAAAGCGGAAAAAGTCCCTTTTTTGTGCAAAAACCATGGGAGTGTCTACACTTGCTAGTGACTTTTTGTAGTGAAACTTAGATGTTTCACCGCAAAAAGAAAACCACCTCCAGGAGAGACGTACAACCCTTTCCGGTGATGCTTTTGCAGTGATGTGCAAGTGAAGACATGTTCTTCCTGTTTACACAGCTTTTAGCCTCCGGAGGATATCCCACAGTGCCTAGGTGAACACTGTGGCCAGCCGCTCTGCTGCCAGGTAAACAGACATCCACCCCTCCCCCTGTAAAGCCCCTGGAACTTTGAAACTCCCCTTCCTGTTTTCTTGGCAAGTGTTCACTTATTTGGCCCGGTGACAGTGCCTGCTCCATGGAGCAAATGATCCCCTGCTTGGAGCAGTGCTGAGCTAGTGGAGCTTATCAGTGTTTGCGACACACTCTCTCTCTCTGTACTGTGGGATAGCTGCCCTACAGTGCTGCTCTCATCAGCAATGGAAGTGCTGTTAATGTAAACACACTCTGATGCCTGAGGAATTAAGTGAGTACACAAACCAGCGCTTTACTTTCACCGGTTCCCTATCAACAGTGAAACTTACAGTGCAAAAACTCTGCAAGTGTAGACATACCCTTAGTTGCTTGCAGCGTAGGTGGGGGCAGGAGAAAAGGCCACGCCTGGGCCCCCTGTGTTCAGTTTTATACCCTCATTCCATGTACTTGTAGAACACAAGTCCAGGCATGCCTGGGGGGCATTGCTGAGTCTTCAGGCAAAGCTAAGCAGTCCCCTTGGTGTGGCCTCATGCAGGTGAGTCATTGAGTTGTAGCTCCCCTGCTGGACAATGGCTGTTGATGGGTTGTTTCACACCCCACCCAGGTGTTGGTTACTTTCCTTGCTCTTGCCTTTTGGGTGCTAATATCTGGCTGATTCCCCAATTTACAGCATGTTTTAGTGACAACTATACAACACAATTCTCATAACATCACATGCATTTACTGATATACATATATGGATAGAGAAATGACTTTCAGCAGATCTTAACCTTTCCCCTGATACCTTACAAGGTATGCTTTATATGTAATATCACAATTATATACTGATGAGGAATATGGGGGAGTTACAGGGTGCTCCCCCAAGGTACAGAATGTCACACTCTCTTGGCAAGATTTAAATTGTTTCTGCCTCTTGAGCGTTGAAAGGTGGCCACTCAAAGCTCATTACATTATATTTTTGTAAAAGTGCTACATATTGTATGTAACTGCAAATCAAGAGAAGCTACTCAGTCTTTAGAAGTTGGCTAATCACCGTTCCCTTTTTCCCTGTGTTTCTGTTGTATGGTATGTCTAGGTGTTAGTCCTTGTTGTAATGCTTGTTAATATTTTAAGTTACAAAACAAAAATCATGTAATTGAAATACTTATTTACTTGGTAACTGGCAAATCAGCAATAGTTAGGGCCAGAACCTGAGGCGTGTGTGTAAGTCCCATTGACTTGAATAGGAAATGAGCAGGCAAATTATACCTTGTGTTCCTGGCCAGATAAGTACTTTGTAATTGCATAGATAACATACTGGATTGTTTACTGGATGTCTTTGAAATAACCATGCAGGTGACATGACTTTCATGCCTTATGTAGTAATAAGTATTCTAGTTATAGGTTGTTTAAAAAAAGTTATAAAATGAGTAGAGTGTTGTATATCTACAATATTTGATCTGTAATATCTTGTTTTTTAAGAAATAGCTAAATTGCTGAAAATTATATACAGATAGTATTTTAGTTGAGTTGAATGGCTTTAGTAAAGAGATGCTCTAATCTGCTATCTATAGGAAGGTTGGTCGATTTTTACCTGCAGTATTTTGGTATTTATGTACATTGTGCAATGGCCATACATCTAAGTTTGAGGTGTCTAGGATGTTTTGTTTTCATGGAGGGATATTTTGACTTTTAAATTAAACATTCAATAACAAAACTAATATGTAAGCAGTATAGTGTGTCAACTTTTTCCAGGGCCACCTAATTGCAGCCCTGTTGATCTCATCTCCAGTTTCTATTTTTTTTAAAAAGAGATATCTAATGATCTGGAGCTTGTGTTTTCTTAATAAGTGAAAGATAATATGTAAGTGAAATGGGAAGGTGTGGATGTCTTACCATAGGGAGTAAGGAGAATTTGTAGGCTTGAAGCATGAGATCCACTCATGAACATGACATACAATACCTGTAAAATGCAAGCTTTTGCCTTGATCTAACACAGTCTGGCACTAACCCTTGGGATAGACATAGTGTATCTGAGCCCCTTTTAGAGTTTGTGAAACTCATTGATTTCAGTGGAGTTTCACAGGATGTAAATCTGGGTAGAAATTGGCCCTCATGAAAAATGACTATTACACTGAGATTTTTATGCTGAAAATCTACATGGTCTGATACACAGAAATAATCATAATAAATATCTAGACTTGAGTAAACTATTATTAGTCTTACTCACAGTTTTTCAAAAATATCCTGTTGCTACCTCTTGGAGCTTTAATTTGTGTCAATCAGGGTGTTGGGAATCACTCACTTGTTGTTGTTTCTTCAGATGTCGAGTATGTGACTTCGCCACAACAAATATGAATAGTTTGAAATGTCATATGAAGCGCCACCCACAGGAGCACCAGGCAGTGCAGCTAATGGAACAGTACAAGTATGTAACAGTTATGAGTTGGCAAAAGCCATAGTAGTGTGATTTTGTTACCTTATGAAACAAAGTGGAGTTCAGATTCATTGCTTTCTCTGTAATCTAAATAAAAAATAGCTTGGGTAGGTAGTCGTGAATTATTTTTTCTCCCTGTCTTATTCTCTATTGCCAGTTGATTAACACTCGTACAAAAGCAAAAAGTATTGGAGCTAATTTGGTATTCTTAGTGTCTCCATGTGAGACGAAACGTGGAGTTGCATCATGTTATCCTAGAAAAGAACATGAGTTTCACTAGTCTCTTATGTTTGTGTATATTTGATAAATAAATGCCATTAGTAGTCTGTTCCCACATGCTACATACTGAGGAAAAGTTATTATAAACGAAATTCTAATACTTCAGCATGACTACCCAGTGCTATCTTGCAACAAGGAGTTGAAAACCTAAGACTAAAGCAAAAATGCAAATAAACTAAATAACTGATACTGCAAGATTGGGCAGACAACCAGGGCCATTGGGATAAATCACATGCATACAAAAGTTGTGGTCTCAAGAAAAAAATCCAAATTCTTCACAACTACAAAATGTAAACTAAACCTCCCCACTATGCTCCTTTCCAAAGTGCTTTCTAGTAGCACTAGATACCATGCACTCTGCAGCTATACTCTGTAGGAAAGCATTCTGCAGTCACCTAATATTACTGAAAACTTCCACACTTCTGGCCTCTCAGTGTCCCTGATGATCCACTTTGTCAGAGGCTGTGAGAAAATTTCCACAGTATGTCAATTTAGGACATTCTTGAACAGTGAGATTTAATCATTCAGCACAGTAGGGCAATTTAAACTGAATTCTGTATAGAGTTGACAACCCTCCAGGATTGGCCTGGAGTCCCCAGGAACTAAAGATTAATCTTTAATTAAAGATTGTCATGTGATGAAGTCTCCAGGAATACATCCTTGCAACAAAGCCCGATGCCAACTCTGTCCACATATCTATTCAAGTGACATCATCACAGGACCTAATCATATCAGCCATGCCA